GTATGGACAAAAATGTCACAATGAAGCCCATTTAATGGTGTACTGAATTTTTAAAAATTTGCAAAAAGAAAATATACTAAAACTAATACATCATATATATGTGAATTTGAAGTTTTAACAAGTGTGGCCTGTGAGAAAGCTGGGAATTAATCTGAGTGCCATGCTTGCTGCCCTCTTTGGCAGCCCGTGAAGGATTACTCCATGCATCAAGAGCTGTCACTGCAGAGTCCTTAGAAGTTAATTGACAGTTTCACCAGGAGACCCTTCCTCAAGCTCCCGCCATGTGTATTAGATTATCCTTCCTGTCAGCAGCATGCTTCTCAGCACAGGACCCTCTGAGATGCTGCTGTTCTCCTGTAGCTTTTCCAGAGGCATGACAATCCCATAGGCAGCTAACAAGAAGTCAGGACAGTCACACAGTCAATGTCAGGACCTCGAATCAGTGAATCCAAACTAGTGCAGTTGTCTAACCCGACCGGAAAGCAGAAGACACCTCCTGCTCAGTATTAGTGAGCGCTCTCAGACTCTGTTTGCAACCACGATCGTGGCTTTCATCAAACCAACACCCTGTGGAGCAGTTTGTCATGATGTCAGAATGGTTGTTGCCTGTTTATGTTGAGGTTATTAGAAAGGGAAGCTAGTTGATAGTTTCAACATCACTTTCATACATACTTAAGAAAAGTCATATGAACTCATAACTGTAAAGTGTTTGCATTTTGTCAAATGGAAATAAGTGACAGAATCAATTTTCTTTTTTTTAAATTTATTGATTTGTGCATGTGTGTGTGTATTTCATACAGAACATCCCAAACAATCTTACTCATCTTTAAATCTGCATCCCAAATGGCACCCTCCCATACCCCCTCCCCCACTAGAGCCCATATACTCTGTCATCCCCGTTACCGTCCACTGTGTTATCAGTGCCTCCATCCGTTCCCCAGTGCTAGCCCATGCGCTGAGTCTAGTCAGCCTGTCTAGAGCATAGAACTGGGAAAATGAACAGCAGACTCAATCTTATCTAAAGGAATGTTGGCAACTGATTGCTGCTAGATGAGGAACAGCTGATCTTCCTAAGACAGAACCAACTTTCCCTTCATCACTCTCTGTTGCTTGCTCATCCTTCCCATGGATACAATGGCACTTGACACACCCAACTTAGGGAATCTCATGCTTTGCCTTATTTGTTTGTGTGCCTATATGGAGTCCTTTTGACTCTGGTAAGCAAATATCTCATGAATCTTAGAAAAGCCCCAACTTCTCCCAACTCCATTTTTTAAACTTGTTAAACAGAGATCAGCATCTTGGTGCATCTGGAGTTTTTATGAGAATAATGATTTGCAAAGTATCAATAAAATCAGAAACACAGCATTTTTATGACTTGTCTTCCAAAGGCAATATCAGAGTCCTACAATGAAGTCGACTCCTCAGACATGATTTTCTTTTCAGATTTTACATGCAATCAGCCATATTTTGTATATGTGTAGTTTTAATCTTGGGTGGGACTCCAAACACACGTATGTTAAGAAAAGAGCACAGTGACCCAGGCCTGCAACCCAAGCTCTCTAGAGACTGAGGCAGGTGGATCATGGGTTTGAGGCCACCTTGGGGCACCTTGTACAGTTCTGGACTAAATTCTGTATTTAAAAAATGAGTTAAAATTGTAGAGGATTTCAGGCAAGATAAATGGCTTAGCAGGTCACCAAGCTTGATAACCCTGATCTGATCCCCAGAACCCACACAGAAAGAGAGAAATGACTCACGCAAATTGTCCTCTAACTCCTTAATACATGCTATAGCAATGAACGCCACCCATTTAATAACGTAGAAAAAGGGATTTCTTTAATTAAAAACAATAACCGTAGATACTTACCTGAATCTATGTCTGTGAGCCAGATTCCACAATTCATAGTTATTAAACATTAACCAGCAATCATAAGGTTTCAGCTTTGTGGTAAATGTTTGTACAAAGATATTACTGATGCTTAAGGTGGTGTCATAGGATGTAACATCTCTCTATACATATATATATAATCTTTTGCAATTTCATGCAAAAGTTCTTAATCAAATTTAGACACCCTCCCACACCATCCATGCCTCAGGAATCCCCTCACTGAACCTCATGTATCCTGCCATACATGTTAAGTCCTGTTCATCCAGGAATTTGTACCCAAATGTCCTTCAGTGTAAATGTCCATCTAGTGATAGGTCATACTCTCCCTCAGCAGCAATCAGTCTCGAATAGTTCTCAGTCTTGGGCCAGCCCACCACTTATTTCTCTCCTCCCCGCCAGCCCTTGTTTAATTGAGCTGACATGGGTCCTGTGCTAGACTCCACTGTTGCCACAAGCTCACATGTGCAAGCTTCCAGTGGCCTGGAAGTCTCTTTTAAAAAGGTGACTACTTTAAAATTCAGTTGGTTTGTCACTATTTCAATAAAACAAAGATGGTGACAGTCACAATTCTTTCATGAGTTTGAAATGAGAAAGGACAAATTTCCATGCTATCTCATCTTTATATTCAACCATAGTTAGGTATCTTAGAAACAAATACCATTCATTACAAGGAAAAGAATTCATGGAGAGATTGGTGGGAACAACAAGAACAAAAAGAACTTAGTAGGAACATAGGGAGGGACAATCAATGTTACACTTCTTTTGCAAAGGTGCTTGGGAAACCAGTTACTGTAGAAACTTCCTAAAATATATACATACACACATAAAAAGAGTTTAAATGGAGTTACCTATGAAAGATGATGGCAGCCCTGCTAGAAATCACAGGCTAACACATAAAAATCTCAGTGCTAGGAATGGGTTACCTCTTTTGGAGTTGTTGACCATTGAGGTACCATAGACCCACAAAGGTTACAGGCTACTACAACATTCTTGGCTACCCTCCAGAACGTAGGGTAGGATGCTATTGCTGAAGACACCACATACTTAAGACTTAGTTCATGGAGAAATCACCTGGTACTGACCCTACTGGCTAGCTTTCATCATGCTGGAAGGTGCTATGCATGTTACTATAAGAAAAAAATAATCATCAGCCTTGCCCAAGTGTGAATCCTGCAAGCTACAGTAACTGTCCTGGTAAGATATGCCCACTGGTGCAATAGTAACTGTCCTGTTAAGATATGCCCACTGCTGTGATAGTGTCAAAAATGTCATGGGGGTAACCAACTACATTCTTCTTGGATTTAAGGTCCACTCCTTAGGATGAAACCCATACCTTTTATGGGGGCCACAAACATGTGGCTAGGCAGATCAGAAGCCAGTAGGGGAGAACCTACTGTGAGCTAGCTGTTGGGAGAGGAAGAATCAGGTTTCTCTAAGTGTCAGGTGGCTGGTTGGTTAACCAAACTCCTGTGGATGGCCACATATCCAAGAGTATATAGACAGCACAAACTGGACTCAGTGGGATTTTTTGCATTTTGTTTTTGGTTTTTTAAAAAGATGACACAACTGTGAGTGGGTAGGAGTCCTGTGGATTTGGGAGAAGTTGGGAAGGGGTGAATATGATCAACATACACTGCATGAAATTCTCGAGGACTCGTGAATATGATCAACATACACTGCATGAAATTCTCGAGGACTCTTAGCAACATACTCTGTTCCAAAGGCCAAAAATGTAGAAAGTATTTGAGAGCTTGTATCTAATCCTTAAAAGATTTTAGGGTTACCTCTTCAGAGGGAGGAATGTTAGAGTAGCCAAAAACCCCATAAAATAAATAAATAAATCAAAGAAGAATAAAGAGTACATGAAGTTATCAGAAAAAAGCAATGGGGAGGAGTTGGAGGGGAGGGAGTGGGCATGGATTTGATCAAAACACCTTAGACGCATGTATGAAATTCTCAATAAATTATTTATTTAAATAAAAAAAAAGAAATTTGCCAGGCACGGTGGTGCACGTCTGTAGTCCCAGAACTTAGGAGGCAGAGGCAGGCGGATCTCTGTGAGTTCAAGGCCAGCCTAGTCTACACAGTGAGTTCCAAGCCAGGGAGACCCTGCTTCAAAAAGACCAAAAAAAAAAAGAAAAAAGAAAAGAAATTCTCGAGGAACTTTAAAACATATTAAGAAAAAGCCAAGTATGGTGGCTCATGCCTTTAATTCTGGTACTCCAGAGGCAGAGGCTGGTGGTTCTGATCTAAAATTGTTGGGAAATGACTACTGATAGGACAAATGATGGTGGACAGCACATGGTGTACATTCCATTCTGCTGTTTTAGCTGGAGCATTGCACAATAGAATACCAATTTTATGAGAATGTTTGGAAAGAACTGAAAAGCAGACACTGTCATATCGATGCACCTGGTGTTTATGAGAGTGAAAACATTTAAAACAGCAAGAGAAGCAGAAAAAAGAAACCATGTCAGATTTTAGCCAAAATTTTAATAGGCAGTTTAGTTCTTAGTATTCAGCTAAACATACATAATTTAGTAAGTTAAGCATTTGAGCCATTTGCAAAAGTTTATAGAAATGGTTAATAATGAGTTGAATCATAATCGTGTTGAGCAAAAGTTCATGCTTAAATCTAATTCTATTATGAATTCTTCTGTCATGAAATCTCAGGTGATGCTTCATCTGTAAAAAGGGTGATGCTGGATTTGTGTATTGAGTGAAAGAAGATGGAGCGGGTTGCCCCTGAACCGGCAGTGTGCAGGACAGAATCATGTATGCGATGAACGCTCTAGAATCAAGGGTGGCAATCAGTGTCATAGAATCAAGACATGGCAATAGACTGTACAGAATGAGGCATGGAATAGAATCAGATATGGCAGTGGGGTAGTGGAATCAGATGTGGCAATGCGCATTACAGAGTCAGGTACATCAGTGCACAATACAGAATCAGGTAGGGCAACGGGCAATATTGAGGCATGTAGGACAACACATTATAGCATCTGGTAAGTGCATAATGAGCTAGTGAGAGGTAAGAACCGAGCCATTGACTTGCCACTTCCTCATTTCAGGTTGCTTCCAGCTATGTAATGTTTTTCGGTCCCATGAGATGGAAATTGACCAGTGCTTGCTGGAGTCCCTTCCCCTGGGCCAGAGGCAGCGTCTGGTGAAGCGCATGCGCTGTGAGCAAATCAAAGCATACTATGAGCGTGAGAAGGCGTTTCAGAAGCAGGAAGGGCTCCTGAAGAGACTCAAGCCTGGACAGAGCCGGAAGGTCCGTTTCAGCCTGGCTGATATGATTCAGGATGCTGTCATCCACCACAACGACAAAGAGGGTATGTCTCCCTACCTGTTCTCCTCATCTATTCTCCCTTGTTTCCTGGGGGAGCTTAGGATGCTCTAAAATTGGAGACAGTATTCTTTAAACTGTCTGAACTATTGGATGAAAAATGCTCCTTCCAAAACAATATGGAGTCATGAGTCTCTTAGCCAATATGTAAAAAAGAAAAAGTGGTGAAATTTTTGTATTTTGCTTGTAAAGAGAATTATAAGTGCAAGTGATTTTTTTTTTTGAAAATTGCTCACTTGAATTGTAGTGAAACTTGCCATCCATGAAACTGTTTCATTCAGTCATGATTCTGACGTCTCCGTTCATTGGTAGCTCACATCCAGATAGATACAGTAGCAAAGTCAGTTACCTCTTAATTCTCATGATATAAGAATAGATTCATGTAAAAATAATTGTCTATATTGGTATTGTGAATGCCTCCCCTGTGTTCTTGTAGTACTTGTGGTCTCAGGTCTTACATGTGGGTCTTTGATCTATTTTGAACTGATTTTTATAAAGGGCTGATTTTGTATCACAGTCAGTTTTCAATGTTCTGCACGTTGATTCCCCGTTTTCTAGCACCATGTATGAAAACTCTGCCCTTATTCCAGTGTGTGTGTGTGTGTGTGTGTGTGTGTGTGTGTGTGTGTGTGTCAGTTGGCTGTAAAATTTGATTTTACTTTGGGGATCTCCATTCTATTGATCTATGGGTCTATTTTTAAATTTTTAAAAATTATTTTTTATTTTATGTGTAGGAGTGTATTGCCTGAATGTATGTATGTGCACCATTGTTGTGAAATGACTGCAGAGATCAGAAGAGGGTGTCAGATTCCCTTGAAACTGTAGTTATAGGAGGTTTTAGCTGCCATGTGGGTATGCGGAATCAAAACCAGGTCCTCTGCAAGAGAAGTCAGTGTTCTTAATCATGAATCCTGCCACCCCAAATTCAAAGGACAATCAAGGAGGTGAAGGCAGGCAACATGTGTTAAGGCTGGAGTCCCTGCAGGTAGTGTCAGAGAGAGACAGGCATGAAACTGTGAAGGTAATGCATAATCTGCATTGAAAAGGCCGGATGCCAGAGATGCCAGAAATGTCAAACACCCGCTGAGGAATGCAGATGGCTAAGAGCAGAGCCAGTCCAAGTCAGAGGTCTTGTGGACTGCAGCTGGCAAGAGGTGTGGGATTGCCCAAGGCCATTAGAGCTCACTTTATAGCCAAGTGTGCCCTGATTGCTAGACAGGTGCTGCAGAATTCAATGTTTGGTCTTCTGAGTTCCTACCTTGTGGTCCCCTTGCTTTCTGTTCCTCTGTTGTTCCCTTGTAGAATGGGAATATTTGTTCTGTGTCACTCTATCTTAGGAATATGCAACTTGTTTTTGATTATTCAAAGGCTCACCACTGCATTGATTCTTGGGGGAGACTTCGTACTTGAACTTTTGAAAGAGTTTGGAACTGTTAAGACTTTGGAGCATCTTGGAGATAGATTAAATGTGTTTTCATTATGAGATGCCCATGAGCTTTGTGGGTTACAGGCGGAATGCTAGAGTTTGAATCTGCATTGTTCCAACACAGGCTCACTTGTTGAATGAATACATGGTCCCCTTCACTTCTGGACTCTGATGTTTCCTATCCACTGTGAGGTAAAGTAACTTTTCCACAGTATACTCCCACAGCCAAGATATTCTGCCAAAATGCCTAGGACCAACCATGAGATAAAGTCATTGAAGCAATGAACTGTAATAAATCTTTCCTCATTTTATGTTGTTTATGTCAGGGATTTTTTTTACAGTGAGAATGATGTAACTGAAAAAAGTGTAAATGAAGAATTCTTTTTAAATTTTGGGTTATTTATTTTTATTTTATGTATGTGGGTATTTTGACTGTATGTCAGTGCCCTTGTGCATGTAGTGCCTGTGGAAGTCAGGAGAGGGTGTCAGATGCCCTGGAGTTATAGATGGTTGTTAGCTGCCATGTGGGTGCTGGGAACCAAATCTTGGTTCTCTTCAAGCGCAGCCAGTACTCTTAATGGCAAAGCCATCTCTCCAGCCCCTAAGTGAAGACATCTTCAATATGAAAATATAAAAGTGTTAATATTTTTGAAACTAGTGGTTCATTTGAACAGGCATTCTTCAGAATGTTCTAATCACAATTTGACATGGAAAGAGTTCTGAAACCAGCTTTTCTATGTAGCTCATTTAGTAGCAGAACTTTCCCTGACCTATTTTTATTTTTTCACTTGTTCAATCTGGAAACTTCATAAATTTAGTAACATATGTGTTTCCAAGGTTTTCAAATACGGGTTGTGAATCTGTATGTAAGAAAACTGTCAGCACATTCTATGCAATCATAGCTATAAGAAGACTCAAGCAGTTCTTTTCGCCATTTTGTGTGGGCATGCTAGGCAAGCAGTAATTCTCTGAGACCTTCCAGTGAATCTCGGGTATGTACATGTGACAATGGCAGAAGATATGGGAGCTGGAGGGGTCCCTAAGAGATCCTTTATTCTAATCCTGTTTGCAAGTGAAAAGGCAAGTGCTGGAGACCACACCAGGTTCTTTGGGAGGAAGTGGAGGTTTGTCCTCTTCCCATATTGCTGTTCTCACTCCCAACTGTACACTTAGCTGCCCCTCCTCTGTGAGGGTAGAAGGACACTGAAGTCAGAATTCCTTACCATTTCATCCTTCCTGCCTTGTGCTGCTTCCCAGCAGAGAATGGAGTAGAGGCTCCATCCGCCACCCTCTTCACCTTCTTCACCCTTTTCACCCTCAACAACTGCCACGGCAAACATACATAGAATCGAGATCTTTACACTTTATTCCTATATTGCTGTAAAAGTAATGAAGCACAAAAAGTATGTGTAAAGTTACAATGTTCCTTAGTTGAGACACTCATACATATAACAAAATGATGTCTTAAGGTCAAAAAGAAAGTAAGCAATGGGGGCTGGAGAAATGGCTCAGTGGTTAAGAGCACTGGCTGTTCTTGCAGAGGACTTGAGTTCAAATCCCAGCACACACATGGCAGCTAACAAACCAACCTTCTGTACTCCAGTTCCAGGGGCTCTGATACCCTCTTCTGGCCTTCATGAGCATAGCAGGACATGAATGCACATACACACATGCAGGCATAACACTCATAGACATAAAATAAAAATAAATAAAATTAAAAAGAAAATAAGCAATGAAGTAAGAAACCCAAGACTAGAGGTTAGCTGTTTTACATATTATTTCCCTAAAACATGATATAATAATACCTTTTGAAATCTTTCATGCCTCACAGTCTGAATCAATCTCATTTCACGCAGTTGTTTTAGGCTTAGAAACTATGTCATTGGGCTGGTAATTATAAGGCAGAAGTAAAGATGAATTTTCCCTTGAAAACTCCAATCTAAGTATAAAAAGAAGGTAAAACCCAAAATATAATAGAAGATGGTGAGTGGTTGGACAAAGCTGCTGGAGAATGAACCTCTGGACAGATTCCCAACTTGACCTTTGCTTAGACAGTGACCCTTGGAGGGAAGGACAGGAGGGCAAGCTGCAGTGGGCAGCTGCAGCGTAGAGCAGCCACAGATGCCCAGGGAATGCCCAGATTGCAAATCTGCCTGAACTGCAGACAAGTTAGCGGTGCTTTGTGTCTGAATGTATACTCAAAAATCCTCTTTGTGTCTTTTCCCTCTGCATCTGTGTATTTCCAGAATACTTTAGGGACTGATGTTGAAGCAGAAAACAGTGTGAGCTATTTATGTTCCTAGGAAGGACATTTATATGTCATAAATGACTTTTTAGTGAAAATGATCAGGGATATTTAGCCATAGGATGGATGGTAGGTTCAATAAGAATTAGAAACTCATGTACCTACTAAGTCCCTACTGATGTAGTGTTTCCAGAGCTCTCTCTGGGTCTTTTGTGCTATCAGGCACATATAACATTTCTTTATGTGCATTTATTATTATCGTAGTGGGGGGAGTAACTTACAAAGGAATGAGCACCCGGTGCCTAGCCCCACTCAGAGCCTGCCATATACGATGGCTCCCGCCACATGCCCATAGTCACCACTAGCTTTCACCCACACCTCAGGGGCCAGCGGTCTCGCCCCAGGTCCATAAGTGCCAGGGCATTCTGTCCTTGAGTACACCCTGCTGCTGCATGTTCCCCACACCCATCCTCCCGCGTTACTCATGGCTCACAGCTTCTGTCCCAAGATGGCTCCCAGCAGCCCCTCAGTAGTCTATCCTCAGTGGCAGGCCCCACCACTTGGAGGAATTAGTCACCTGGGAGACATGTGTTTCAATGTAAGAAGGCTGAGCTGGGGTCTTTGCACTGAAAGTCAGAACAAAAGAACAAACCCAAGATTCATATTCCATAGGAAAAAGTACATTTGTGCATCAAATGTGCATAGAATAGTACTCAGACTATTCTATGAAAGAGAGCTGTGAATGAATCAGACAAACCTTCTACCTCTCTGAGGGCCCACCCTGTGGTGTGGGTGGCAACAACAGGGTAAAGTGAAATCCATACTCTGTTAGATAAGGAAGCCTGCTGAGGAAAGCCTCCTGGAGGGGCTGGCAGATAACCATGCAGAAACCCTAATGAGTGTTCTGAGAGGAAGAACATTTCCGCATGCTGGCGAACAGCAAGACCACAGTGCAGCTGGGGCAGAGTGAACATAGGTGCAGCAGGAGAGGAGACAGGCCGTGGGGAGTCTGCGAGGAGCATGCAGAGGACTCGACTGTTGTGACTAGGGATCCCTGATGCCAGTGGAGGATTTTTACCGATGCCACTTACAACTTAACAGACCAGTCACTGTTGTCTTCTGAAAGCAGAAGGACTCAGACACTGGAATCAGGGAAGCTAGTGAGGCGACTCTCAGGGTGAGCTAGGCAAAGGAGGATGGTGGCTTGGACCACAGTGGAGCATGGGTGGAGTATGGTGAGAATAATCAGGTTTGGATACGTGTTCATGAGCTAGAGAACTAACAGGAAATTTTGAGTGGCTCTGTACAGCTGTAT